TGATAGATGTTTTCATTTTACAAGTAGTTTGCTGAACTCAGCAAATGATGTTTGTTTTTGAAGGTATAACTGCAGTAATTTGTACTTATCCTCTTGACATGGTGAGAGCACGCCTGGCATTCCAAGTGAAAGGGGATCATAAGTACACTGGGATTATTCATGCATTCAAGACCATTTACACAAAGGTAATTGTTTTTGATATTTTTTTTTCTCCACTTCATTTCTGGGTTGCTTGGTTGAGTAATTGCTGGGGAATAGATTTTAATATTTGCTGATGAAGACTAGTTAAGGTATCCGGGGCAAGGTAAATAGATTAGCAAGCTCATGTACCATCTGAGGTTGTGTTTTTAAAAAGCACATTTAAGACTCTCGGAGCAGCTCTGACCTCCTGTTCTGATCTGCTTTGTTTACAGGCAGATCTAATCTGCAGATTGAACTTTAAAGGGAGGACAGTGGCAGCAGACCAAATAGCATTATTGGGGCAGCTGAGTTGCTCTAGCAGGCAGGCAATCTTTGGGATCTACTAATTGTTCAGTGCCCCTTTTAGAAATGAAGTTCTTGCTAGGTATTTCTGTATGAGTTCCTTATTAATAGTCGTATAAAACTCTTTAAAGTCCTTATTTTGTTTACCATAGCATAATCTGTGTGAGAGAGACAACTATAAATGCCATTTTACAGGTGAGGAACTATGGATGAGACGCAGGGCTCTTTTTGGGCAGGAATGTGAACGGAGTTCCGGCTGACTCCCAGCATAATAGGTCACACCCAATAGCAGAAACTCATTAGGATTGGCTACATTAGGGGTGTGTGGCCTAACATGCAAAGGAGTTCCTGCTTAAAAAAAAGCCCTGGGTTTTGACAACAAACAAGGTAAACAGAATAAGAAGGGAAAGGTGAGTGTGGCTGGATGACCACACTTCTGGTAACATGGCGGTGTGGCCTAATGTGCTAATGAGCAGTGCTGTTGGGTGTGGCCTATTATGCTAATTAGTTCCTGCTGGGCTTTTTCTACAAAAAGAGCCCTGGATGAGAGAACTAAAGTTGCTTCAGTCAGGAACCTTCTACTCTGTTCTCATTGGGCTTGTAGCTTTCTTCTCTCTTCATCTTGTGGTCTGAGATAAATATAGAGTTCTGTGACAGCTGGGTTGGGGGGTCTAAGATTACTGATAACCATAGTTGACCTGTGTATTGGTGACTAAAGTCATGGTCTGAAGTGGGTTTCAGTCCCTGGTCTGGAGGCAAGCCATAGGAA